CAGACATTTTATGAACATTCAAATCAAAGATGAACATACGCCGAAGGTCTGCAATACTGTTCCAATAAATTGCAAAACTGGATTTCTACCCAAGTATTGTCAGTGTGATTGGTAAAATCAAACATAAATGAAAGTGATAACAGACTTTCATAACGGTTTGTTGTAGGTTTAAAGCTGCCTCTACTTTCAACTCATTCATAAAAACAAAAAGGTTCAACTATGTACTACAAACTGCTTTGACAGTGTATCACAGTTGCTTGCAGTTTCTGCAGTATTTCTATGCTGTTGGTCCATGATGGAACTTACTAGTAGCATTTTCAAAATATTTCACCTTTTTCTGTGTGTTTTGCCACTAACAGAACAAACTCACAAAATTAAGTACCAACCAGTTATTTACTGTAAATAATGTAAGTCAATTTCTCAACATTATATGAACGTTAACACTTTTATTCTGCATAATTTTAAAGGAGAGGCAACAGCTGCATTTCGTAACATTGCGAGTATAAAAATATGAATTGCAGTCCTGATCCAATCCCATCTCTTGTTGTTCTTATGGTCTGAAACTGTTGGTCTCTGTTCCCTCAGAATGCCAAGTTCCAGGTGCCGACCTGGAGATCAACCCCACGCTGGAGTCACTGTGCCTCAGTATGACAGAGCATGCCTTAGGGGGTAAGTGTCAACAGCCCTGGAATAAACAGACTCTGTCAAACCAATACCACCTAGTCAACAACAGCCCATAATATATTAAAACTATGCAAAGAGAGGAAAGATTTTTATTAACGGCTTGTTTCTCTCAGGAAAGAACGGCATAATAATGAGTCCATTCACACCTTCCTATAGGCAAACAGAGACCCAAGTCTGTGATGTTTATTATTCATATTTCATTAGTCACATTTGTATGTTAATATTTAATAACATCTAAATGATACAATAGGCAGTTTCCTCTTGAGGAGCAAAAAACAAACAAACACACTGATTCATATTGTGTGCTTGAATGACAACATTAGCATCATAATGTCGAGTTTGAAGCTCAGTGGCTGTGTATAATTTTGCTGTGTTCCAAGAATAGTGAGATTGTGATTATCATATTTTTTTTAGTGACTAAGGCCCCGTGTCCACCTAGCGTTTTTTTCCAATTGTTTTCAATGAGGAAGAGAGCGTTCACAGCAGAAATCAGCCGCCTGGAGAGAAAGCACAGCGCTCAGCATCTTTGATCCAGCGCCTTTTTTGTGCAGCCGCTTCGATCGCTCAAGTTGAAAATCTTCCAACTTTTCAGAAAGGCGCTGTTGACGTTGCCTGCGCTCTTTTCCCAATGTATGATATTCCCTGAAGTTTTGCCGCTGTGAATCGTGTGTTTTACCCACATCCTCTTTGTGTCTGATCCGGAAATAAACGATCTAAAATAAAAAAGTAACTGAGCTGTATCAGTCACACAGCAGCCGTTATCAACAGAGTGTTGTCATAGAGACAGGATGAACGTGCAGCACTTTCCTTCTCAACGCTTCATGCAAGCACTCCTGAGTGCACAGACAGCACTTTTCTGCTCACAAAATTGGCTAGGTAGACACAGGGCCTAAGATGTACATAAGATCATTGAACTAGTTTCAGAAGGTTTTCCTATTATTTATTTACAAAGAAATCCCATTAAAATCCACCTCACTGTTGTGCACACATACAACCATGGCAGATTAATTTATACAGATTTTGGAGGTAGTATCAACAATTAGAACATTACAACACTTTCCTCCATCGGTAAGTTCAGATCCCTATAATCACCTAATAAATATAAGATATGCTTTGCTCAATGGCCGGCACTCTATAAGAAGGCATGAAAACAATAAAAAATGAATGTAGAAAATATGTGGACACATAAAAAGGGCATCAATAACCTGTTGTACTGTGGGATAAGAGAAAAAGCAACTCCCCTTTAAGGATGAAATGTGAACGGTCTAGTGTATTTTATGTCTGTTAATGTGTCAAAACATATTTATTTCTAATCTCCTCCTCAGATGGAACAGACCGGACATCAACAATATGAAAAATGAAAAGAAGAAAATGAGAAACACCCTTCAGTTGAGGCCTGTCAAGTTCCTCGTCACCCAGCACAAAGATATACGTATGCTTAAGAAAACCAGGCAAAGCAGTCACTACAAAATGACAAAAAAAACTGTGTATATGTTCTCTAATATTTTTGTACTTTATTATATACAACTAAGTTTATTAAAAAAAATGGAATACAGAAGATTATTATATTGCAGGGCAGAGAAGACAAAAAGCTAACTGCTCCATGTCACATGCAGGACTGTGACATGATGTGCAGAGGCTCAGTTTGCCGTGGTCTGAGAGAAAAGCGGTGGATTGGTGCTGTCTTTAAGAGGTTCTGCCTTGTTAGTTACTCTTCTTTTCCTCCTGCCTTGGAGAAAGGCTTCCTCCCACAGCATACTGACAGTCACAGCCCCCTGCAACCATTGTGGGTAGACTCAGACTATTTCCAGGCAGAAGTAAGGCACTTTCATTAAATTATCTCTGTTATTAGCTATCAAACTGTAATTGGCCCTGGGGTGAACTCACTAAGTTTCCTCTTGAAGACAGCTGTGGATATACTGATAGCCATACACTCTTCTAGCCGCTCAAATTGTTCCACTAGAGAGGGCTTGTGTTGGTTGAAACTTAGAAAGCTTTCCTCTGTTCTTTTTTTTATTCTCTCTAGAGAACGTTTTTTAGAGGCAAAGAGGTCCAAGAGGATTTAGGAAAAGCTTGTAATCCAACCAAACCCCTTGTCTCGGTTGGTTTCCCAGAACACATAATCAAAGTAGAAGCAACTGTCCTCCAAACTTCTACAAAGCCAAAGAGAAGAGTTGTGCTATTGTTATTTTGAGATGGATATTTGCAGTGAAATGCAACAGAATGGTATGATATTTTTAAAGAACAGCAGTTCAAAGAATTTATGCCAGCTGCAATTTGTCTCTGTTATTTTATACCCAACTACATAAATGATGATGAATCTCATTTTGTGCCGAGGAATCCCCTGAGGGGTAAATAAGGGCTGTTGGGGTTTGTACTGTGCAAGAGCTGATTTGATACCGAATTGATAAAAGCGAGGAGGGGCCAGTGTTTTCAATTTACACTCTAATGCTGGGTGAGAAAACTAAATGAAACCCATCTCAGCCCTCTGGCCCCCTGATGATTGGCTCTGGAAAATGAAGCTTGATCCTGTTATAAATAATCTGGAGCGCAGCGGCAAGCCCTCACAATGCCCTTTCTTCTCGAATGGCCAACATGACGATTTGATGAATCATGATTTTCAAGGTGCTTAACAATGTCCATATTTTTCTGTTTGTGTCTCAATGTGTTTCAGTCTCCGAACCCTAACATTATCATGTGGTATCAGTGTTTAATCCAAAACTGTCTTACACAGCCTCTGCCTTTGAATGTGGCAGAGCAGAGGTGCATGTATGTGAAATATGGTCTTAACTTTTGGATCACTTTTGGTTGCATCATAAGGCAGGGATAACCATTCACATTTTATTTCAGCAGAGCCATAGGAAGTCTGTTTCGTAAAGATGGTTATTTACAGATATCTTTTCCAATTGTATTTTTTACTCTCCCTTGATATTGATAACTTATGCTTATTTTCTATAATCGCATGTTTTTGCCACACTAATACAGCACTGTTGTAGATAGGGGACATGGTGGTTGATGGTGCCCAGAGTCACCAACAGCCAGAGAGAAGAAAAAAAAATCTTGCAACTCATGTTGTATGTTTATATCGCCTAAATGTCACTGTTTACATCTCTCTGGGATAATGCCCATTTCATGTTATGTGATGTCATGAATTCTTAATTATCTCACTATATAACACATTGGACAACTGACGCCTTCTCGCACATGAGCTGGCTGGGTAGAGCCTGAATACAAAAGCCTTCTACCCCCTGTGGTTAACTGTATGAGGCATGTAACGCCTGCTTTTCTAGTCATGCAGCGAAAAGAGAGAATAGCTTCCCTGGCCTTGTGATTGAACCATTAGCTGTCATGTCCTGATAAACTGTTCATGTGGTGCCTGAAATGCACAGCTCCAGCATCCTCAATATGCCGAATTAAATGTCTTCAGTAGTATTCTAGTCATGGATTTCTTCAGAGCAGGCTCTTGGATAGATCTGACTTACTAAATGCATCACACTTATGCCCAAAAAGGACTTCTGTGAGTTAACAATACTGACAACGTTAAGACTTGGCTTTATTTTTCACTGTTCACTACTGTATATCAATTGTGTTATGTTACAAATGGCTCAGATTATCCTTTTCATAGCCTCTGTAGCTTCGGACAGCCTTTGTATTTCACAGCATATAGACACGAAAGGTACAGTGCAGAAAGTTTCTGCAAGTGTCTATGCATAATGAAGATGCAGCAGGGGGTGACAATGCTTATCTGAGCCACAATTTCTGATTATGAGTAAACTGAACACTAATAACAGGCCAAGGAATATGTTTACTCCATGTTTACATTCCAGTGATGCATGAAATGAGTTGGGGGGGGGGGAATGCACTTCATGATTTCAGCCTTGTGCATTTTCACATAGCAAGCATCCACTAGGAGGTACAGAGCCTGTGTCAAATGGAGACTTCTACCAAGTGGTCCCGAGATCATGTCATTGACCCTGCCAGGCTTTATTTTGTTTTTGAATCAATGCAGCCAACTGCAGGCTACATTGCATATATTTCTCTTGTACAATTTATATTTAATTCTGATGAATCCCCTTGACATTTTCTAATATTTTATGAAACTTTTGCATCCCATGCTTTCTCTGTACTTTTTTACTGTCACTCATACGTGTGAATGGTCTGAAGTGTGCAGCATTCGTCCATTGACGGTCCCAATAAAAGAGGTTCAGTTCTTTTGCAATTTCACTTGTGGTTTCACTGTGTTTGTGTCTGTTTTCTTTGTGACACATTATAAGTTTTATCAGCTATACTACTCGACTGTCATGTGTGTTTCATCCATCGTATTTTCCCCTGTTACTGACATCCTTCATTTGCCGACGTTTCCGGAGAAATGACTCAATAACTTTTACTTCCGGGTTGTTTTAGCAGTTTCCTCTATTGAGCTAACGTGAGCTAGCCACCTTCTTTTTTTTTTTTGTTACCGTCATTAGTTTGTTTAAGGAGAAAAGAGCTTCTCTTTCGTCTGGAAACTTAACAACAACTGCGTAGGTATGTTTATGTTTTCTATTATAGTTGCGAGAACCACATTTAAGATGTCCTAAAATAGAATTTAACCTTCTCCTCCTACAGTAAATAATGCCCAAGTTAGCATATAGCTAGCTGCCCTGCTAATGTAGCCTACCAACCATAAACAGCTGCTTGCTAACGAGTTTAGCTGGGGAGCTAAGTGTAATATTTTCGCCTGATCTCTTGCATTAAATGGTCGAAATGTCCCGTGTAGTCGATATATTTAAAGGCTTTGCTTCTGTTAACTAACACTGAAACTGTTAAGGGGCAAAAAAGTTAAGATATTTCTTTTTTTTTTTGGTCGATTATATTTGACGTGATCGTGGAGAGGAAAGAGACACATCCCTTTTTCTGTTTCAGGACGAAAAGAGGATGTGTTGTTGTCTCAAAAATCTTGGTTTTATTATGAAAACTTGTGCTTTTTGGTGCTTTAGTTGCCTGCCAATGTGTTTTTTTCGAAATCACAAGTTGTCTCTGCTTTCTGGGAACTCATTTAGTTGTAGATCTACTTTAATAACAGAAAAGTTATAAAAATTACCTCAAATTTTAGGGAATCTTAGCCGAGAGCTTATAGCAAAGTTAATGTTACTTTCAAAGGGCGCATATGGTTTAAACGCTTCAAATATGACGTGATTTGCAACAACTCTTGTCAGTTTAGTGTTTTGAAAGTTGGCAGAGTAAAGTCAATTAAAATAAATAAAAGCAGAGTTTCCTCTTTTCTCAAAGCTAGATGCCGCAGTACCAACACCATGAGGTGTTTCTCTTTATGTTACAAATAAACCCTTGAATATGAAAAACTACTGGTGTGCTTCACCTTATCTTAATTTATTATAAGTCGAAATGTCTAGCTTTGGCAAAGGCTTTAAGTGTAACAGTATAAAATCCAGTTAAAAGAAACAGCCTCATGATTTCCCACTGAGAAAATCAATCAGCAACAACGTTATTGAACATTCATCATTTGAGCATTTCGTGTCTTACAGCAAAAGTATTTGTAGTTTTTTTTTCCGTCTCCATAATGGTGGTTCATGACATTCAGTTTTGGTTGAACATTTTTTTTTTAAATGTGTGGATTTCAAAAGCGACAACTGACATAGCTGTTTTTTGTTTTGCTTGATGTTCTTTTATTTTTGTATTATTTATCTTGATGAGAACACAGAGTCAATATTGTAAATTCAGTATGGGATTGTAATTGCATAATAATAATACGAACAATAATGATAATCTAAAAGTCTGGATCTGAAATCTGAAAGAGACCACCCCCCCTGCTTTGAAGCCTGGCTTACAGAATTCTTTAGTACCCACTTGGAGAAAATCCAACATGAGACGTTGGGGGAAACAACTAGGTTTAACCAGATATGGCTACTCTTCCTTGACTACGTCACAGTTTTGAGAGATATGACAACTCAATAACCTTCAATTCAGTTGAACATTTGTTTTCATATATTCTTCAAACACACATTATATTTGTGGAACGGGATTACAATATAAACTTGTCAATTAGAGAACACCACCAATTTTCTTTTTGCGTGTATTTTCCCCCCTTGCATGAGTAGGGAGAGGTGGGGGAGTGTCTCTTCAGAAAAAAGCTATATATAAAGTAAACAAATATCAATTTATAATCTATCAAGTTAAAATGATGAAAAATTAGTTCACATATTGTATCAGTTTAACTGAGTGTGTATCTCTTGTAATATGGTAATATTTTGCCTCAAATGTTAACAGCAGGCTTAATAATACTTTAATTTTGTTTTGCAGGTTTTTTATAAAGCGCTGAGTCAATAATGCGTGAACACTGACAATGACGTCTGACACGAAGGATGTGGATGGGTATGTTCCTGCCAGAAGATAACTGCAATTACAAGTCATCCCTTGGAAATTCCCTTGAGTGGCAAATATTTTGCCTGTTCACCACTTAATCCATCATGTCATTAATAAAGGACTCAGGGAGCCGAGGGAAAGATCGAGAAAGGGGGGCCCGGCCGAAGGTGAGACAGAGCCGATCAGAGGAGAGACGTGATGCTGGCAGCGGAAGGAAAGGTGGAAAGGGGAAGAAGAAAGGCCTCAGTTCCCATGAACCAGTGGCCGAGAGGCCTGTCAGTGATGGGTTTGAGTATGGAGAGCTGTTGAGTGACCTTGAGAGCAGGGATCAAACGTCGTCCTCTCCTGTGAGGGAGAACTGGAGATGGCAGGGTTTGGAAGTTGCTGCCTCATTACTCGGACAAGAGCGGGTAACAGCAAGGCCAGGACCTGTTAGCTCTGCTACAGACTCGCCGGCCCCCAGTGAAGGTGAGGGAAGAGGGTCAAGCAGCAGTCGCACTCTCCGTCAAAAAATCCAGGATGCCATGGGGCAGTGTTTCCCGATAAAATCCCACAGTGCGACGGCACCCGCACAACCTCCACAAGCTCTTTCATCGTCAACTATCTGTGCCTCCTCCAAGCGTAAAATCCATATTAGTGAGTTGATGTTGGACGACTGCCCTTTCCCTGTAGGGTCAGAGCTGGCACAAAAGTGGTATCTCATTAAGCAACACACAGCCCCAATCACCCAGCCCCCTATGCTCGATTCTGCAGTAGTGTGCAGTGCTCCGTCTCCAGCCATGGCCACTGTGGTGGAGGATGTAGATGACAGGTTGCGAGAGCGCAGGCGCATCAGCATTGAACAAGGTGTTGAGCCACCACCCAATGCAGAGATTCACACGTTTGAGGTGACGGCACAAATAAACCCTCTCTATAAGCATGGCCCTAAGCTGGCACATGGTATGAATGAGTTAGCTGGGGCTGACAGAGCGTCTGCTCATCAACAACAGCAGCTTCTCCTCCAAAGACAGCAGCAGCACCAGCTCCTACTACAGAGTTGTTTGGATACTCTGGATGAGGTGGTGGCCACAGCCTCTGTCTCTGCCTCTGCCTCTGCCTCTGCCTCTGCCTCTATCCACACCTGTGATACTATTTCTGACCCTCTGGTTGACCCAGAGGTTACAGCGACCAGCATGCCTTCTAGAGCCATACTTCCTCAGACGGAGAATGAAAAATCTCCTGACGGCTACCGCATCCACACCCAGATCGATTACATTCATTGTTTAGTTCCAGACCTGCTGCAGATCACCAACCTCCCGTGTTACTGGGGGGTCATGGATCGTTACGAGGCCGAGACACTGCTGGAGGGAAAACCAGAAGGCACTTTCCTTCTGCGCGACTCTGCCCAGGAAGACTACATTTTCTCCGTTAGCTTCCGCCGCTACGGCCGCTCACTACACGCTCGCATCGAACAGTGGAACCACAACTTCAGCTTTGACGTGCACGACCCCAGTGTCTTCCATGCTCCTACAGTTACAGGATTGCTGGAGCACTACAAGGACCCTAACTCCTGCATGTTCTTTGAGCCACTGCTGTCCAACCCCATCCACCGCACACAGCCTTTCACCCTCCAGCACATCTGCAGAGCGGCCATAAGCAGCTCCACGACCTACGATGGCATTAACATGCTCCCCATTCCAAATGCTTTGAAAAAGCACCTGAAAGAATACCACTACAAGCAGAGAGTACGAGTACGGCGAATGGACACTTGGTGGGAATGACGAACATCAAAGAAATATAGACTAAAAGAAAAGACTAAATACATATACAACGCTCCCTGAAGTGAACACTTAGACTTGTTATTCATTCTTATCTGGCTGACACTAACCTACACTGCACTGTTCTTATTTATTTAATTCTTGCTGTATCTGTTTAACAATTGTACTACACTCCAATGATGTGACACCATGTAATTTCACTTACCCTGTACACTAAAAGTTTTTTAAGCTCAAATTAAACAAACTTATCTAGATCTTTTTGTGTGCACAGAATCACCCTCACACATCAACTGCGTGCTCAAGTGTGACTCAATCAGCTTCATTATCTGTCGATGGGGTAAGGAGTCCCAGCTTGAATTGAGATGATTATAATAGAGTTGTTCATCAGTCACGTGCTGAGAAGGTGGAACACATACTGACAATGTTTTTCGTCTTGTTACTGAGGTGTGGAAGTGCTGCACGTCTGCAGTATTAATCATACTTTCTTGCACTGAGCCAGAGCTGATTACAAAGGGTGAGAGGTGGGTGTACCTGTTCTTATTAATAAAAAAAGGAGAAGGCTTCCACTGGTATATAAACTGTATTTTTCACACGTTGAAGTAGTGATTACATGCGCACTTAAGGTTGTTGCGGTTTAAAAATTGGATGTCTAGTGCTCAGATTCTACATCATTCAGCTGCTTTGTTTTTCCCTTTCATCAATCTGTAGTTTCACCTGTGAGATTAACATGCATGCAGGTCACTACCAGTGGTAAGTATTCGGTAGTTTTGATTCAAAGGATCAGATGTGACTCTTTATGAGCTTGTCAGCAGCAGGTGAAGAAGTTGTGTCACCAAAATGCAAATGATGAATACAGAACATTTATAGACCCCAAAAATCTGTTGTGCTGTCCATTTCAAAATGTAGTCCCTCCCAGTATGAAGGTTTTAATTGGGTTCTTGGCGTGTAATTGTGATGGATAGACCGCCATCCTTCAAGAAATGTTCTTTGTGCTGTGCTACTTGCAGTGCATATTTTAAAGAGGTTGGGTGTCTACACACTAATCGATTCAAGCGGTTCAATCACAAAATTACCACAGTGAGTAATGCTGATGACTCTTCATTGGCACAAAGAATCAGAGAAGAGGGAATATATTTTGAGCCTTTTTCTACAGCTTGATATTAATTCAGTCACAGACAAAATCTACAAGCTCTTAATAGCTCTCCTAAGAGAAATCATTCCTGAGATAACACCCAAAGAGACCATTTAAGTTTTTTTCCTCACCTGCCGCCGTGGCAGGTCACTGAACATTTAAATAATCCCCTCTTTTTCGGGGGCTGACACTTCTTAAGATTAAGAAATGTTTACACTGAGTCAGTCGTACTTGACAGTACCTGATGTGGGATATATCATGTAGCCTTAATCCCTGACATTTCCTAAATGAAGAAATGCTTCATAAAACTAATATATATTTATATAAGAAAAACATATCTGTCGTGCTGGCGATAAACTGGAGATCGCACCTGGCACAATCAGTATTCACGCTGTACCCGGCAGAAGGCAGCTAGTCATGTTGTTGAGACTCATTACAGCATCTCACCAAATGATGGCAAATTATAGGCTCATGTCTATTTAGCAAGTACAACAATTAAATAAGCATTTCATTTGAAACTAGAAAGACATTATTGACTTACATTAAAACATGTTATGTATTGACACTAAATGTGGCACATCTGTTGAAGGACTGAATTCTCTCAAATGGCATGTTTAAATGTACAAATACAATACAAGCACCTCATGCTAAACAGACTTTAATTTACCCTAATATCTCGGACTGACAGTCTCGGAATATCCAAAGACTTATTGTAAATAAATGCAGTTGGGTCATTTACTGCTGTGTGTGAACAGCATTTTGTATTAAAGAAACCACACGAGAGAGACAGCACTGCTAATTGTTGTATGCACGAAATAATAATTGCAAAAGACAACCGTTCCAGTGTTAATGGGAAAGCATGGCTAATGGATCCCAGATCATCCTCGGAACCACTGTGATGCTGTTTTCTCCTTGAGATGGGCGATTTGATATGCAGGATGCAAATCATCCATGACAAGCACTCATCCGCTAATGAAGCGGCTGTAATTTAAAAAGCAGTTCCAAGGCAGCATTAAAGTCTGCATTCGGAACACAATGTCAGGACCTTTGACTTTTGTATACTTCATTAAGTCACTATAAAATCTAAACTATGAAAGAAGATTTACTGTGTTGGAGGACATTTGACCTGTCATGCATACACAATTGTGGGCAACACTATGGAGCCTCTACACAGGCAATTTCAGCCCCTTGGCAGCTCAAGGCGTTTGTATTTCCCAGCAGAATACTCTGCTCTGCAATTTTCTTTCCCTGGCAGAAGAGATCCAATGATAAATGTCTGTTCTGGACTTTTAAACAATTCATTTCACAGGTCCCATAGTTTTCAAACTCCCTGATAATTGGCTAATATTTACCTGTAATTCATAGGAAAGTGTAATTTGGTACTAATTATTAGTTCAGCCAGTGCTTTTCCAATCAACAATGTATTGTTGTTTGTGTAACCTAAAAAGGGTTTAGGAGACAGCTGAACAAGTGTGCATTAGTACAGTTTGTTTACACTCAATTATACTATCGTTTATATGTCCCATCATGACTTAATTAAACAATATTTAGTTGTGCTTAGAGCATTTGCATTAAAATAATGTACTTCTTCTAAAGTCAAAACATCTTCATTAATTGTCATTGGTGAATTTTTTCTAACATTTATAACTTAACAACTGTTTTAATTAAATTTCCAATAATATTTTTGAAAAATCCCAAACATATAAAAAGAAAGTCCAATTCAGTATGCAACTAGAAGGGAATAGAGCAGACATCTTCGGTGTGCAGACGTACAGGCTAAACCACTACAGGGCTGAATTCATTATCAAATCTGCTTAGAAATATGTCCAAACATGATTTTCCTTGGGCCATGAAAGTTCCATTTTAAATTGAGTCTGTTAGTTTTCCATAATTCTGCTTATACACATACTGCACTGAAAACATGAGGTGTGCGGGGGAGGTAATTATATAGCTCATTAATTATTTGCATCGTACATATTTATTTATTTTCATAAAACTGCACATACAGATTATATTCATATCATACAGCGTTTCCATCAGTGCAAAATGCTGTATTACATCAGGCACAGCAGGTGGCTGTAAAGAGCTTCAGTATGTTTTGCTCTAGCAGCTCTGCTCTCAGGCCTATGTGTCTCTGTGTGTGGTGTGCTGAGATGGTGGGATTGAATGAGACTGCTGCAGCACCGTAACAGTCATCATGCAGGTATTACGGGTCCTGCGGGAAAAAGAGGACTTTTCTCTGCCTGGATCAGTGGGCCCGGAGGGAGAGCATGCTCAAGCAAAGCAGAAAGCTGATTGGCTACACATACTTAGTGTGTTTGTGCCTGTTTGGACCTCTTTTTCCCTCCCGTCCATTGAGGAAAGAGATTTTCCTCAGAGCCTAATCTCTACTGTTGAGCATCAAGGGAATGGAGAATAAGCCTGGAACACCTGGGGACAATTACTTTCCAAATAATCTGCCGGTCATAATCTAACAAATGCCTGAAAAGGGCCTTGAAACTGTGTTTACTTGGTTTATTTGAGACTTAAAACATGAACTGGGACCGAGTCTGTGTTTTTGACTGCTGTTTGCAGACCCATAGACACTGAAGTCAACATTAGATCTAGGCCATTAATTCAGGAGAGGGTGTATCAAACTGATTTCAAATTCTTGCAAGATGCATACGACTCGACATGAGGCAGAAAAACATCTCTGTGACAGAGGAGACACTGCAGCAGAGGGGAGGAGTTATTTTTGGTCAGCAAATGAATCCAGCTGAATTTCAACCTTGAACATGAAAGGGAACAGTTTTGTCTATTTCGAGTCACCCCTTTTCAAATGAAACACATCTTGTCAAGACCAAGTAATTCCTGACTTAATAAAGTTTCAGTTCATAAAAGTGTCACAATTCCCCCCTAGGAGATACATTGTCACACGTTGACACACATACGTTTGATGTTTGTTTCCCTGGAAGCAAGCCTTTGACAACACAATATTTCCTTTTCCTCCCGTCTAAAAATCCAAATGCACTCCAGTTCTGCCAGGCATGTAGGGACTCATATTAGGCCTTTGCCACAGAAAACATCAGTATTCTAATTTGCAGCTGCTTGTTTTCTTCCTGCACAATCTCTGGCTGCCGCTGTTTTTCACTCTCCTCTGCACTGACAGGTTATTGATAGAATAATGAGGGTGTTGGGCATGTCACAGCTAAGCCTATGGATACAACACAGATTGATGGGATTGCAGCGTAAATTACACACACCATCCTATATCCTATGGCTCCAGCCCATAAAATCATTAACCAGCCTCGAAATAATGCAGGGATATGTACACATTATGTTTGGTTGAATCTTTGCAAATTAGCATATCCTGTAATTTGATGTCAAAATGCAGTTGTAATGTGTATCATAAATTGTTTGTACATCATCTTACTGTAATGGAGCTACAGATAACAGGGATATAATTATAGATAACCATTGTTTATTCTGAGAGGAATTAATTATAGTAAGGCTTCGCATTGACTGCTAAAAAAGACCCATCATTGATAGAACGGTAGTGAAAATGTATAATTGCATGAATGATATATTAAATTGTATAACTCCTTCTCTCAGTGACTAATTATGCTGTTGAACAACACTCCCATTGACCAGTGCTACACTGAAAATACATTGTGTAGACCTTGCCAGCTACTTACTGTAAGAGTCATTCCTCACAAGGGACACCTTTTGGACATGGTGATATTTTCAAGCATTCATTTTCCATCCTTTTAACTTTTTTCCCAGAAAGCAGACACGTTTAATTTGCAAGGGAATAATACTGCTGGAGCTCAGGCGCCTGAATGATTTGGTCTCTAATCAAAGCATACTAACCATAACTCATATGCTGCATTTATCACCCATTAGATGTTATTTAAGAACAAGTGCGGGTTTGCTTTGTCCAGCTGGCTGTTTTGAGTAAAGTCTTTTAATTTGGTGGTATAGTTAAAGAATAGCAGCCTTTGTCTGTGCCTCTTATGTCATCACTGTTTTAGAATAAAGATTAGGCTATGCCTGAAGACCCACTTTGGAAATTTAATTTTGTTTTGGAGGTAAGTCCTCTGCGAAAGTTCTCAAGGCTTTATTTCAATTAAATATAAAAAAGAC